CAGCGTCTTCTTGGCCCCTTGCTTCCACCGGTCCTCGGCGCGGTGTGTTGGTGTCGCGGCGCCTGACTCCTGCGAAAGTACGGATGCGCAGCGCGACCCACCCAGGTACTCCAGCGCTCTGCTGTTCTCTTCGATCTAAACACAAACAATAGCTTCATTATTGTAGATATAAAAAAAATTGTGATGTTTTATAGATATAACTAAGACAGTGTACCATATGGTACAGTCTTAAGGCTGCTTAAAAATGTATTTGCTAACCTTTAAAATCATGTATAGGCCTTCGATTAAAAAGAAAACTGTCTAACATAGGTCAACAATATGAATATATAGTGGGAAGCGTTCAAACGGAATTGTGCATTCATGTGTTTTAAATCAATAGGTAGAGATACGTCAGTAATGATATTCCTTCATAAGGTTTCCTGATAAAACTTACAATATATGAAATTTCACATACAAATATCTGCACAGGTTTCTCAAGTTTTGTAAGTATACAAATATTTGTGCTGCTGCCTGTAATGACTGTATTTTTTATTTATTACTTTATTTATGCAACAGATTACCGATTGGTAATATTTTTATACCGCAGAAGTCTGTAACCGAAAACCAATAAATGTGTAAATCTATCAAAATATAGAAATTCATAAACGAAAAATGCGAATTTAAAAACTTGCTATATTTATTCGAAGATATTTAAAAGCAATAAAAACATTGCGAAGAAGTGGTTTGTGGCTACAAAAAAATGCACATCTAATTACTTAAAAGTATGCTATATTCTTTAAAAAAAAACATAACAGTGCAAAAACGCTTAATCTATCATGCATCAGGTACAATAATAAAGAGATAAACGAGTCTAAAAGCAAGCCAAATCATAAAATCGCTTCAATTTTAGTGACAAACAAAACTCCGATTTCTTTTATAGGCGAAAGGGCACAGTGCTCGGAAACAAATGCCGGTCTCAAACCAAACAAAAAAAATGGTTACCATAATTTTCGTAACAATAAAATTTAGAAGCATTATAAAGCAGCGTATACACCGGCCGTGCCAAAAGCCACGGTACCCACCTCAGTCCCTTTATCCTGTGGGCCCAATACACTGATCGAAGCTTGCGCAAACAAATTATTCAAGCCAATTAAAATTAGTTTAAAATATAGTTTGAATTTAGAATACAATTACGTGAAAATCAAAAGTATTGTTTTCTATAAAATGGTGAGTGTAATTTTGCAACTATTTTTATAATTAAACAAAACATAAATGAATATTTGTAAATTATTATTACCGGCTAGTACCATAAAAGAAAGCAAAAAGAAAAAAAACAATTAATCAACTTTAAAAAAAATTATTGTACTGAATCTGAATCTATTCTTTCAAACAAATGTACCCGTTAGTAAATTGTAGAGGTCTTGAGAACTGGTTGCTATAATTTACGTTAATTTTGTACCGATCTGGTGCGAGACAGTTTGACGCAGAGATTGGCAGTGAAAATCGAGTAACTATGGTCTAAAGATCCTTGCACACAGCACAATCTTTTAAACAAATTTATAGAATGCAAAGAGTTTAAAAAAATTGTGAGTTTGTTCTCATCATGAGCTCCTTCAATACACTAGATAAAAATTTATTACAGTAAGCAATTCTATCCAGTATAATATGAATTTATCAGCGATAAATCAGCTATTCAGTCGTCTATTCTTTTATTTCGAGAAGAAATTAGATTTGTTTTTTGTTTTCTTTTTTAAAATAATGACATACTTCTTTGTTGCCAAAGATGTCAGCAATTACAGCATATTTTTGAATAATTATTCATTTAATGAAAAGCCCTACACTTACGTCACGCTTCAGGCTATATGTTTTCACGCTATTATACTTAGGGGGTAAATAAATTGGATAAAAACTCTAATGTGGGAAAGAGACCATAAGCTACGAGTTGCTATCATCAAAAAACCAAGGTTGTCATTAATGTATTTGAATTTTGTCATTTCAAAAATGTAAAAAATAAAGTTTTTATAATTTAACGCGGATGAAGCTGCTCGAGAACAGCTAGTCAATATCACAGTAACACTCTTGTATGTGTATCTTTGAAATCGATTAGGCGTGTTGAAATGATTTGAAGATGTGATAAATGACTTTTAGTAATCGATTTGCGCTCTCTCCACATCAATCACTTGTCACAAAAATCATGTCACTACAAGTGGACGTATTTACATTCAAATGTAATAACTGCATTCATACTTTTTTTATAACTAAGATGGCAAACGAGAAAGCGGCCACCTGAATCCGCCAATATGGCGAAGCGACCGCGCCCATAGACATCTGCAATTGCAGATGCGTCGCCTACCCTTATCCGACGGAGACGCACATAAACAGGATATTTCCTGCATGCATCTCCTCCATCGTCAAATCCACTTCCCCTTACTATCCTCTCATAAGAAAAGGTTGGTAAAGAGAAAAGGACTAAAATTAGGCCTCCGGCACCACACTCATCAGACGAAACACGGCATTGGTTCCATTTCACGTCTGTCTTCTGTGTGGTCGTGGTATTTCACCGGGCGTGCCGGACCATTCGTGCTAAGATGTTAAAGCGGGCACTACCACTGTTGAAAATACTTATAAGAAGAATTAGATTTCTCTTTATTATTGTCACGCACATTGTCTTATTTAGAGAGGGACACATCTTTAAGTTAAGTATCGCACAGTTGTTGGATTGTCGGTTGTTTCGCAGCCAATTCAACTGTTTAGTTGCTTAAAATCGAGTAGTCTGCCTCCATATAAGCCCATATAAATCAAAGCGAGACTAAACAGTTGTCCGATAGTGTAGTTTCAGTTGTGCGTATGCTCTTACATTTATCACAACATAATATAATCTATATTGTAGTGGTAATCATTACCATTTTTTAGTTTTTTATTGTGAAAACCAGTTCTAAAATTATAGATATTTTTAGTATTTTTTTTTAGTTTTGTTCCTTATAGTGTATACACTCCTTTACAAAGATCTCATCTGTAATGACTGCGTGGGAGTAAATCGTGAGGCACAGCGAACGGTTTGAAGGTTTTAAATTAAGATTTATTTACTTTGAGAAACAGACTATGTTTTAAATCGGATAATAATAAAATATTAACCATTATGAAAGCTATTTTAAGAACTGAATTTAGTTTTATTTTAAGAATTTAACGCTCAACTAGTCACGAAAGCTGTTTGAATATATTAATAGACGAAGCATACTTGACAAATAATTTTTCGCGCCATTGGTAAAAAAAATCCTTTATGGATATCACCCAGAGATTTTATTCAACACTTATTAGACTGATTTTTGTAACTGCCTCAGTGTTTACAAGTCGTTTGTATTAAGACACTTTTTCTTATAATCAACAAATAAATGAAATACGGGATGTCTGCGAAGCTTACTGTACTCTGTGGCATAGTGAGTATACAAGCCAAAGTACTGACACTACATGAGTACCCGAAAGTTTTATATGTCACGAATGTTTTAGGAAATAACAAAAACAGTAACGATACGTCTTTTTCAAAATAAAATTGAGTGGAAGTAGTTTCTGCTTTTTATTGTATTATTTTTTATCAAAATTAGATCAGATATTCATCTGGAATTGTAGAAAATAAGTCACTAATTGGTAGACAGTAAGATTTACTATTAAGCCCACTACAGACGCTAATTGACAGTTTTCAGAAGAGTCCAACTGTACAGTTAAACAGTATGAAGGCAAAATAGTTTACTGTCAGCTAAAACTGATAAACGGGGTACATAGATTTGTTTGGCTTAGTTAACGAAACAAAAAAATCTAAATTAAAAAAATAAAACAAACCAAAAGTTACACAAAAAATCAACAAATCTCTCCTTTGATATAACCAAACAGTAGAAATTACCTGGAAATACAATATGATGGTCCAGATAAGACCGAGGACGACGGCAGGCCTGCCGTCTACCAGGTCCGCGGCGTTGATGTTGACAAGTTTGATGCGCTTGCCGGCAAGGAAGCGCAGCGCCGTGTTCGCGTTGGAGAGGAAGTGCGGACGACGAAGTACGCGGCCACGCTCCATCGGCTGCGGAAAACAGCAGTAAGTAAGACTACAAGTGTAATATCATAAAAGTAGAAGCAGACTAAAGTTTAGATGGATGTTTGTTAGAGCTTGTAGCCTAAACGGCTAAACGGATTTCGATAAAATTTGGTATAGATGTAGAAGATAGTCTGAAAAACACATAGGCTACTTGCTTTAATTTATTTTAATCCCACGCGGACGTAGTCTCGGGCGGTAGCTAGTACTATCTAAATGTAAGTGCACTCATGAATGATAAATTTTAATTAGAAGAACGTGTGATATTCCATTAGCAGAATCGCATGTAGAAAATTTTCGTAACTAATCCACATGGCGCTAGTGTGTTACTGTTCCGTTACAAGCATTGCTAGATATTTGTAGGATTATTGTCACTAACCAGCTTCTCCCCGGAGAGCACCTCGAGCAGCGCCAGCAGCTTGGTGCCATCGCGCAAGTCGTAGATCAGGTCGTCGATACGAAGCGGCGGAATGCGCTGCAACAAAATATTTATACATCTTGCTTATATTATAAAAGCGAATGTTTAGACGGATGGATGTTTGTTAGAGTTTGCAGACTAAAGAGATCTCGATGAAATTTGGCAAATATGTAGAAGATAGTCTGGAAGAACACGTAGGCTACTCACTTTTGCTTTTTTTTGAGTCGCAGGCGACAGCTAGTAATAAATAAAATAAAGCCCACTAGAGATGCTCATCATCAGAAAGCTTAACTGAATAGTTAATATAAGTATTATACGAAGTATTTTTATATCCGTTTTATACTCTTTGATACTCACTTGAATAGTGATGGGAATTACGTCAGTTTATCAAGTTCTTATGGAATTATTAAAAAAATAGTGTATTTACCTTTGACAAATGTGAATTGATCCAGTTAACAAAAGTCTTTTTCTGCACTCTTTCTTGCTCATCTGTAACAAAGAGAGTTAATGTTAAAATATTTACTACATCTCTTGATTCCACTTTTATTAAATGGAAGCAAAACTACAGATTTATCTTTGTAAAATGTTTTTCCAATTATCTGCATATGCAAGTTAAATTGTTTTCGTTTATGCCAAGGAAATATTTTGGCAACTTGCTTTTGAATTCCGAACCTGGAGAGAGTGATTCCCGCCAAAAAATGGCGGCGTATACGCAGCGCGTCAGCGCCATTACGAAATGGCCGCCATTGCCAAGTTCACTGCACCGGGTGCATCGTAAACAATTGATTGTGTGTTGTTCAAATAATGATGACGCTATTTTAGATGTGCTCTCAACAGCTATTTGCGTTCTGTGAAATCATCACCTTTATTTAACTGGGTGATAACGTGAATTTACGCAATTACGTTTTTCTCTTGGGGAATTTTCTGTAACCAACAATTTTTCTATTTATGGAAAATCGAAGATATTTGTTACTATACGTATAAATGTACTTTACAAGTTTTTTATGACACATCTATTCTATCTTCTATATCTATACTTAGATACTATTATAATAAAGCGTAAACACACACCTCTTTGTTGCCTAAGATGTCAGCAATTACAACATATATTTGAATAACTCTTTTTTAAATAAAAAGCCGTACACTTACGTCACGCTGTAGGCTATATATTTTCACGCCATTAAACTTAGGGGGTAAATATTTTGGATAAAAACCCTAATGTGGGAAAGAGACCATAAGTTGCTGCCAACATCAAGGAAGCAAGGTTGTCGTGGTTTGACATCATGTCATGTCATTTTGACATTTGCAATTGTTAATTTGACAATTGTGAACAATAAAACGATAATTTTATGCGGATAAAGTCGCATGGGAACAGCTGGTATAAAACATCAAAGCATACCGATTATAATTTTCATAAATCAAGTAAATCATTATAATCCGCATAAGCCTTATACAGTCAAATAATGAACGACAGCGTATTTTGCAATAATATATGTCTAAGGCAGGTCCGCATTTGGTACTGGTTTTAGCTCAAAGTATGTTAGACCAAAAATGGTAGCTAATTCTTCATCAAGTGTATACTAATGTGGTATTTACGACTTCTTATGAAATATAACTGCAATAAATTATTGTTTGAATACCTAATGTTTTTTAATAGGAATAATATTATACTTCTTCTATATTCCAATATAGAAGAAGTGTAAGTGGCCAGCCTTTATAGATAAAATTAATGTTACTTACTGCTTTAAAATAGCTGTTCTCGTGCGGCTTCATCCGCATGAAATTATAAAAACTTTATTTCGTTGTTTACATTCGTCAAATTCTCAATTGATTATGTCAAAATTATGGTTACCATAATATCCTTGCTTCCTTAATGTTGGCAGCTTGTAGTTTATCGTCCCTTCGTATGTTAGTGTGGATTAACTCTTAAATAAGAGATAATTTTTATCAACAATTATTATAATTTCGAAAATCATAACAAGAAAACTGCTAATTTTTTATCTAAAAACTTTTTTTTTCTGAATAGAATAAATTTACTATAAAAGAGAAGCAAGAAAATAAAACGAAAACTGGGATTTGTTTTTTCTTACTTCTTTATGATATTAACTCGAAGTTACTCGTATGCGTGCATTCTAATCCCAAGTTACATAAAAAAGAAGCTAAAAGATAAGTAAGTTAATTTGCGTAAAGCATCACGCAAGTTACTCCCGCAGCCGCAGGCGACGCGGCGACGTCCCGGCGTTACCTAATGCTGCCCGGAACACGCAGCGGGTACGGATAGGTACGGTCTTCCAGAATTTAGGGTTGTGCCAAAATGGCAAGACGAATATTTTTGTAGTAGAGCTGTCGCCCACAAACTTCGTTAGCGCAAATTTGGACCAAGTGTTACGCCATTTTGACAGTGCAGAAATAAAAAACGCTACCCTCCAGAGAAAATCCCGTCGAATTCAGCCTAGATGTTTCGGAGATTAAACGGAACGCACGCGGCTTGCGGACAGACAGACAGACAGACAAAATATTTTAAATGAGATTTTCGTTATCAGCAACGCAAATACATCTTCTTCCCGAAATCTCAGATTTTCTTCTGATGTTACAAACAGACACTCCAATTTTATTATATGTATCTTTTGAATAGATAATAACTAGTTTTTAGATTATATTCATATAATTTATTTGACAGGATAATTACAGTTGCTAAATTACTCGTATATTACGTAGCCACGCCTTATCCATTGTTGAATTTGAATTTGAGTTTGAATTAATTAAAAAAAGTGGTTATTTGTCTTTACTGTGGTTTTAATGGATTAAAAAATACAGCAGGGTTCCCAGTCACATAGTTTTAAGAAAAAAAATCATACTAAAATACGTCAGTGGTAGCCCTAATTACAAAAGTCGACCCCCAGTCCTCATTCAATGTTTCAAGTCAGATCGCGTGAGGACTTGCCCGGTACTATTTGCTTATCCTGTCTTACATCTATAGGATTTTTTTATGATTACAGGGTTTAACGAATTTGTCCATTATCATACATCCATTTTACCTTCTTTCGTGTACACATATTTTGACAAAGTGGAAAAAACGTTTAATATACGCACTAAATGGAAACTTTTAAGTCTACACTAAGGGTAAGACTAAATAACTTGTAGCAAATTAATCATACTAATATTATAAATACAATAATTTATATGGATAAATGGATGTTTGTTAGAGTTTGTTGTCTAAACGGCTAAAAGGATTTCGATGAAATTTGGTATAGATGTAGAGTATAGTCTGGAAGAACACATAGGCTCACTTTTGTTTTTTTATTCTAATTTCACACAGACGGAATCGCTGGCAAGAGCTAGTTTAATAAATAAAGTTATAAACCTGTAAGCTACAAAGCGTCGATCGTATTACCTAAGTGACGTCATAACATGGCGCCCAATGTCACAAAATGTAAACAGTGAACAGGATGGCCGGCAATATTACATCGCTTTTATTGAAAGCGCTCGCGTTACATCATCGACGACTATCACGAATTCAGTCATTTTTTAATTTGCCTAAGTAAATTATGAGTTCGGAGAACTTGATATCGTTTACATTAAATTTATTTATGTAAGTTTTCTCGGCTATATTCAGTTCATTCATGCAATATTTCTTACTACGTATATCCTATTTGCAACAACGATTACTTCGGTGCTCCGCGTTTGTTCTCATTTAAAAAAAATGTCCAATATAAAATTATGCATGTAAGTATGGGTTGAATAAGATCGATTATTGTACATAAGGTCGTTACTTAACTCTATTAACCGCAAGGCTGAAGTGGTAAAGCGAGACACGCTTTATCAATCATTATTAATAGTTCCTAAACATTAGTAATAATAAAATATAGCCTATGTTACTCACAGATAAATTATCTTTCTGATCGTGAAAGAATTTTTAAAATCGGCAAAGTAGTTTTTGAGTTATTTCAATACATACAAAAATACAAATCTTTCCTCTTTATAATTATTTACTAATTACTAATATTATAAATGCGAATGTTTAGAAGGATGGATGGATGTTTGAGTTTGTAGATATGGAGGATAATCTGGAAGAACACATAGGCTACGTACGTTTGTTTTTTTTTAATTCCACGCGGAGTCGCGGGCGAAAGCTAGTTCCTATATAGTTATCAAAGGAAGTTTGTGTAAATAAACCATCCTGTTAAAGAATAACTCCTTTCAGGGTCCAATGGGTAAAACGAGGCTAAGGTAACTTAAAACTTACGTGTGATTGAAGTTTACTACGAAGTGTGTGTCAACAGTAAATGTGTGTAAAGCACGTGATATTGTATTATCTCACCGCAGTTATGTGATATCCAAAGACATTCAAATTATGTATAGAGGAGGCTTAATTAAAACTTCATTTGAGACATTTTTCACATGATCATCAATAACGCTATCTTTTGAGAAAACATACGAACTATATAAATAACAAAAAGCTACATATCCCTCGGGAACCGGACATTTCTCGGGAATGGACCTTATCCCATGTGTACTCCAGACTTTGCTTTATATCTGTGCCAAATTTCAATAAGATATGTTGAACCGTTGCAGAATGATCGAGTAAATATTAAAAAACTAAATTAATGAATCCCACGGGAACCGTAACTATTCCCGGGATAAAAAGTAGCCTATGTGTTCTTCCAGACTATGCTCTAAACCTGTGCCAAATTTCATGGAGATCCGTTTAGCCGTTTAGGCTACAAACGCTAACAAACATCCATCCATCTATCCATCTATCCATCCATCCATCCATCCATGCATCTAAACTTTCGCATTTATAATATTAGTATGATTAATTGCCAATATTGTAACAAAAGATGGAGCTTATTATAATTTTGTAAAATGTTTTATTACATGTCAATACACACGAGGTGGCACTAAACTTGACAACTTATATAGTACCTTTCAGAGAAAGTATCGGTGAAAACATTTTGTACACTGTCTCGTCTAAATATTTTTTAAATGTCTTTGATGATATCCGAGTGTGGACGTGCCTTAGTACACGACAGGTTTGAGCAACGCCACTCAAGGTTAAATCGATTTTTGCGTCTCTTATGTATTCGGTTGTTTTTTGGTTTGTTTACTAGTTTCTTTATCAAACACTAGATGTTCCCTTGCAACTTCATCCGCATGAAATTATGAAAATTTCTATTATTTAGACGTGTCAAATTATCAATTGCAAATTTCAAAATTACATGACATGATGACAACCTTGCTTCTTTGATGTTGACAGCAACTTATGGTATCTTTCCCATATTAGGATTTTTATCCAAAACATTTACCCCCTAAGTTTAATGACGTGAAAATATATAGCTTAAGTTTGACGTAAGTGTAGGGCTTTTATAAAACAAAGAATTATTCAAAAATATGTTGTAATTGCTGACATCTTAGGCAACAAAGAAGTGTGTGTTTACGCTTTATCATAATAGTACAGATTACCAAATATATTTAATCTAAGTAATAAA